CACATCTTCACTACACACGAATCTATTTACCTATATACCTAAATACCCATGCATGTATCTATATGGATACATAACTAAACATATTTATGCTCGAATATTTTTCTTCAATATGGCTTTGCTCCTCTATATATCTATGTATCTATAAATCTATTCATCTATATACCTATATATCTATATGCCCACACACCTTTCTATATCTATACATATGTATATATGTATATGCCGGTATGTCTCTCCACTTCTGAATCCATCTGTCTATACATTCATGTTTCATGTATATGTGTGTATGTACATATACACATACATAAAGAAAAAATGTATATTTTTTTAATAAATATACATATATACATATATACATATATACATATAGAAATGTTTGAATATACGTATATGCTGATATATACCTGTTAACATGTGTATATTTGTCTGTTTTTACATCTATGCATCTTCATATCTTTATATCTCTATGTCTATATACCTGTATGTCTATAAACCTCGTATATATGTACCTATGTTTCTGAAAACTCCCAGCTCTTAATATACATATACACGTATACATGTGTATATACATATATATATATATAAGTGCAAGGTCAGGAGATGCGGAAACATGCATAACGGACATCGAGGTCGACCGTTCATTGTTCGACGAGGCTGGAGTATCAAGGCTCATGTTCTTTTGGACTTGACGGGCCACGTTTCCCAACGTCGTTTGATGATGTTTTTCGATATGAACATATGGGACAAGCGACATCGTAGTAAGGTTTAAGTATTTGTAGTATGTAGTTTTGAGGGCCAGGTGTTGAGTCAATTGCGGGTATATTTATGCATGTATCGCTGCTTGTATGGGCACCGCGCTGTCTTCTTGTGTGTGGCTATATTGGTTTAGATATTCATGGTTATTCCGTGTGAATATACTTATGCCTGAATGTGCTTCTATATCTATACTCATTTCTTCATCTCCATGTTTATCTTTAACTATGTCTATATCTGTATCAAAATCTGTATTTGTATTTATTCTCTATCTACATCTGTATCTATACCGAAACTTTTATCTATATCTAAACTGCATCTATGCCTGTATCGATATATACATATACATATATATATATGTATATGTATATACATATACATATTTATTTATCTATATCTGTCGTATGTATGTGACATATATTTATATAGGTAAGTATATCCATGTCTATTTCTGTTTCTAGCTTTATATCTATGTAAAGATCTGTATCTATATGTGCCTGTTTACTTGTAGGTACATGTACTATGTGACTGAATTCTGATTGCACATGCATA